CTTTAACACTTTTAATGGTTCAAATTTTTTTTTTATTGGTTGTGGTTTGTTTCCCATATTTTCCCCCTTTTTTTACCCTTTCAGCAACTCTAGCAACTTTTCTTTCCAGATACCTCTCTTAAAACCCAGTACCCTTTTTCTCCTCTCATTCCAAACTTTCCAGTCAGACTGGATAAAATCCCTTAACTCGGGGAAAAAACCCATTCAAACCAGGGTTACCTTGCCGCCCAATTCTTTTTTTTTAAATTTTGGTTTTAACCCAAAAACTTCCCCTTTTTGCACTTTCGTAAATTTCCCGTAAACAAGTTTATACTCTCCCCTACCTTCCATTTTGAACTACCCACCATTTTTTTTTTCCCCAAAAAAAAAAAATATCATTTTTAAAATTGCTTTATTTTTTCTTTCTTCTATTTTTTATTCCCAAAGAACACGTTACACTCAAAACTCTATTCTTTTTTTACTTTTTTTGCCATTTAATCCACTCTCATGCCATCTAGAAACCTTTCGTATCTCCAGTTACACAGGCTTACCATTCAAAAAAAAAAATAATCATTCCAGATGCACGCATCTTGTTATTCCTGAGACCTTTTATTATGTCAGTTATTTATGCTTACCATTCCAGAGACCCCTCCTGTCATTATCTCCTAATTGTTTAAGGATTTTTTTTTTGTCATTCAAGGAGTTCCTTAAATATTATAAAAGTTCACATTGTATTCAACAAATTTTCTTCAATGACTCTTACAATATCGAAGTCTTAATATCTTAACCTCTACCTCATCATTCTAGACATTCGACCACCAGTGTCTGCCCCATTCTAACATTCCAAAAATCTTCGCCATTCCTGAGGCGCCCACGCCATTCCAGAGACATTTCCTCACCCTCCAGCCTTTCCTCTAGTCATGGTTGAGTCATTCCAAGCGACAACACTGACTATAATGACGGCTGGAATGACAATTTAAGAGCAGCTCCTGGAAGCGCTGGAGGCTGGATGTTGTCTGGTCCAACCCGCTGTGATGGGGAGATCACCAGTCAGGTGTTTGTCCTGGAGTGTGTTTGCTGCTGCAGGTAGCTGTCACTGCAAATACGTATATGTTTCTGCAGGTGTTGACGGAAGCAGGTATTAGATGTTGCAAGCGTTTGCTGTTGAGGGGGGCCCCTCAAGGGAGATTCCTTGACGCTGGTGAGGGGCTCTTGATCTAGGGATTTGGATCTGTGCTCTGGTTCCCTGAATTGATTATTATTATTATAATTAAGGGGGAAGCGCTAAACCCGGAGGATTATAGTGCCTGGGGGGGATGTGGAAGCCATTCAGGCTTAATTCGGGGAACTGGAGCACAGATCCAATTCCCTAAATCAAGAGCCCCTCACCAACATCAAGGAACCTTCCTTGAGGGGTCCCTGAATTGAGCCTGAATACCTTCCATCCCTCCCCCCCACATGCGCTGTATAATCCTACGGGTTTAGCGCTCCCCATGATACTAATGTTGAGGGAGCATGACTGTTGTTGCTGGCATTTATTGTTACAGGTGTTTGTTCTTGCAGGTGTTTGTTGAGTCAGGTAATTGTTATTGCAAATATTTTTAAAGCAGGTATTTGTTGAAAGCAATTTTATGCAGGTATCTTAATGCATGTGTTTGTTGCTGCATGATTGTTATTACAGCCTTTACTACAGAAGTTTGTTGTTGCATGTAATTGTTATTGCAAATGTTTTGGATGCAGATGTGTTGCAGGTGTTTTTTTATAGATTTTATATTGCAGGTGTTTGTTATTTTAGGTGTTTATTGTTGTAGGCTTTTGTTGTTCATTATTTGTTGTTACAGACATTGATCCCCACAGTTGTTTGTTGTTACAGGTGTTGATTGCTGTATTGATTGCTGATTGCAGGTATTCATTGATGCAATTGTTGATCAATGCAAATGTTGAACATTGTAGGTGGTAATCACTGTATGTGCTGATGACTGCAGGTGTTTATCACTGCAGGAGTTAATTACTGCAGGTGCTTGTGTTGTTATTCAGTGCATTGAATGCTTCAAATTTATTAGTTCTACTGAACTGTTTCGGGAGGTCAATGCCCCAGAAGCCTGATCCCAGAATGTTTTGTATTGCCTGTTATTATTATTAATAGTAGCAGTAGTACTAGTACTAGTACATCTATTAGTAGTAAAATATTCACATAAAGCGCCAATCATGTGCGAGTTCTTCAGCTCTAATCATTAGTTTTTTATTCAAAATACAGGCTGTCTCCCACCGATGTATTATTATTTTTTTTTTCAACAAGTCAGCCGTCTCCCATCGAGGCAGGGTGACCCAAAAAGAAAGAAAATCCCCAAAAAGAAAATACTTTCATCATCATTCAACACTGTCACTTAACTCATACATACGTAATCACTGTTTTTGCAGAGGTGCCCAGAACACAACAGTTTAGAAGCATATACATATAAAGATACACAACACATCCCTCCAAACTGTCAATATCGTAAAACCCCTCCTTTAAAGTGCAGGCATTGTACAGTGGACCCCCGCATAACGATTACCTCCGAATGTGACCAATTATGTAAGTGTATTTATGTAAGTGCGTTTGTACGTGTATGTTTGGGGGTCTGAAATGGACTAATCTACTTCACAATATTTCTTATGGGAACAAATTCGGTCAGTACTGGCACCTGAACATACTTCTGGAGTGAAAAAATATCGTTAACCGGGGGTCCACTGTACTTCCCATTTCCAGTACTCAAGTCCGGTTATATAAAACTAACCAGTTTCCCTGAATTCCTTCACTAAATATTACCCTGCTCACACTCCAACAGCTCGTCAGGTTCCAAATACCATTTGTCTCCATTCACTCCTAACACGCTCACGCATGCTTGCTGGAAGTCTAAGCCCCTCGCCCACAAAACCTCCTTTATCCCCTCCTTCCAACCTTTTCGAGGACGATCCCTACCCCTCCTTCCTTCCCCTACAGATTTATACACTCTCCATGTCATTCTACTTTGATCCATTCTCTCTAAATGACCAAACCATCTCAACAACCCCTCTTAGCCCTCTAATACTTTTATTAACTCCACACCTTCTCCTAATTTCCACACTCCGAATTCTCTGCATAATACAGTGGACCCCCGGTTAACGATTTTAATCCGTGCAAGAGGGCTCATCGTTATGCGAAATAATCGTTATGCGAATGAATTTTCCCCATAAGAAATAATGGAAATAAAATTAATCCGTGCAAGACGCCCAAAAGTATGAAAAAAATTTTTTTTTACCACATGAAATGTTAATTTTAATACACACAAACTGAAAAAGGCATGCACAATTACATGACACTTACTTTTATTGAAGATCTGGTGATGATTGATGGGATGGGAGGAGGGGAGAGCATTATCTTCTTACTGTTTAGAAGGGGAATCCCCTTCCATTAGGACTTGAGGTAGCAAGTCCTTTTCTGGGGTTACTTCCCTTCTTCTTTTAATGCCACTAGGACCAGCTTGAGAGTCACTGGACCTCTGTCGCACAACAAATCTGTCCATAGAGCTCTGTACCTCCCGTTCCTTCAAGACTTTCCTAAAATGGGCCATAACATTGTCATTGAAATAGTCACCAGCACGGCTTGCAACAGCTGTGTCAGGGTGATTTTCATCTATAAAGGTTTGCAGTTCAACCCACTGTGCACACATTTCCTTAATCTTTGAAGTAGGCACAATGGATTCCACAACTGGCATAGGCTTCTCAGGGTTAGCCCCAAACCCTTCAAAATCTTTCTTAATTTCCATACTAATTCTCACCCTTTTTACCACAGGGTTGGCACTAGAAGCTTTCTTGGGGCCCATGGTCACTTATTTTCCAGAAACAGCACCGAAAACACTGTAATAATACGAAATATTCCGAGTGTATGCTTGGATGTTACCGCGGAGGCTGGCTGGTAAACAATGGGACGGCCGGCACATGTGAGGGCACATTGGACGCGTCTCGGACGAAAATCGGTAAGCGGGTTTTTAATCGGTATGCGCGGCAAAAATTTTGCGATAAAAGTAATCGTTATGCGGAAAAATCGCTATGTGATGCCATCGTTATGCGGGGGTCCACTGTATTTACACCACACATTACCCTTAGACAGGACATCTCCACCGCCTCCAACCGCCTCCTAGCTGCAGCATTTACAACCCAAGCTTTACACCCATATAAGAGTTTTGGTACTGTACCACTGTACTTTCATACATTCCCTTCTTTGCCTCCACTGATAAAGCTTTTTGTCTCCACATATACCTCAGTGCACCACTCGCCTTTTTTCCTTCATCAATTCTATGGTTAACGTCATCCTTCATAAATCCATCCGCTGACACGTCAACTCCCAAATATCTGAAAACATTCACTTCTTCCATACTACTACTCTCCAATCTGATATCTAATTTTCCTTTATTTAAATCATTTGATACCCTCATCACCTTACTCTTTTCTATGTTCACTTAAAACTTTCTACCTTTACACATTATTATTATTATTATTATTATTATTATTATTATTATTATTATTATTATTATTATTATTATTAAAAAGAAGTGCTAAACCTACAAAGGTCATACAGCACAACCCACCAATATAGAATAACTTATAAAACAAGTTAACACATTCATCACCATTCATTCTGTCTTGCCAGAAATGAAAATGACCCTCTGAACTGCAATATCTCATCTCTTGTTGATAGTGCAGGCAGTATGCCTCCCACCTAGTCAGAGGTACACCGCATACAGAGTATACCTCTACTGATATGTATGCACATACAATAGCTGTAATGTAACAAAATATACATATATCAGTATAGCCAGCTGGCCCAGTGGCTTATGGAGAAACCAAAATCTAAATTTGGTTAATAAAACTGGCACATTGGCACTTACACAATCCAAACTTTCCTGTACATACTATACAGCAGTGTTGAATAATGCTAGTCAGAAAAGGCATTCTCAACTCATTGCGCAGAGAATTTGGAGGAAGAAAGTAAAAATATATATATTCTTATTATATTAGTTCAAAGTAAGTGACATATCCTTTTATGAATTACACAAGTGATGTAAAATATCAGATATTCAAGCTAACCAGTCTTACACTTAAGTACAATTTATTTTATTATCGAAATACGCAATCCATATTTTTACTATGCAGCATAAACTTCTTCATCCTATATCCATACCTTCCACTTCACAATAGCTTTAGGATTTAATACTTAGTAATAACAATAGCTTTAAGACAACATAACTGGTATGGTGTGAACTGTGACACAATTTATACCAATACACAAAGCAAATCTCTCTCCAATAGTAGAAACTTTTAACATCACAGATTCTATCATGGTGGCCCCAATCTCCGATAGTCCATTCTCTCTAATTGTACAAGTGGTTTGAGCTGGTCAGCCAGGGCTCTCAGATCATCAGCAACTGACATGTCTGTCTTGGTGGTCAATACACTTAGTTCCACCATGTGTGACATTGTCAGTGGTTCCAGGTTGTCTTTTGACATTCCAGCACCAACCTGTAAGGAAATATTTAAGTCAATTACTGTTAATGCAAAGAATATGTTTAACATGAAGAAACCTTGGGAATTGAAAGAGATGTGTCTTAACTGCAGCATACAACAATGCTTTTACAGTAAATATATAAAACAGCCTAAATTAAAAACATCAGAATAAAAAAATACATTAATTACAAATGCCTTAAAAGAAACTAATGCAAAAATTTGACCACAAGTTGGTAGTGTCTTAGTACATTTCCAAGTGATTAATGATCCTACAGAGGTGTTAAGAACACAAGGATCACTTTAATAGATCTACTGACCTCTCCAACGAAAATACTGTTTGTGCCTAACTACTTTCACTCATGTACTTCTCGGCAATTTGTTCCACCAATCTCTGACTGTAAAGTACTTCCAAACTAAGGCATTCCTATATCCTCTTAAAACCCAAATTAATTTGATTTTAATCCATTATTGAATATTCTGTCTTGGTTAGATATTCTCAACATCTAATTCATATTTCCTTCATTAATGCATTCCATTCATTGGTGCACTTTAAATAGCCACTCTCAGGGGAATATAAGGTCAGTGCTCTTAACTTATCTTCATTGGAAAGGTTACTAATACTGACAACTGACTATTATCATTGTTTATATGTTTTCCAGGACATTTAATTTCCTTCCTGTAACAAGTCCAGAACTGCTTGACATAATCAAAGAGATCTCAACAATCATAAGCAAAATTATAAAACCTTCAGACTTCTCTTACTTATACTTCATAATATAAACCTGAGTTTTCATACGAACAGTATTTCTTTGTCTTAGGATTTCTATTAGTTATGACTAATAAACTTTTTTCACATGTAATCTGCTTACATTCTATATTATTTAGTTGTACACAGATACTGAGGTTATTTTAAGAAAGTGTCTGTTTCTGCTTATGCAAAAAAATTTTATCTCATTATTAAAAGTTTCCTTATTTCCTTGAATCTCTAAAGCTTTTGCTAATAAATGCATCCTTTTTCAACACAGGCCACTTCCAACCACATTCACTGTCACTCTCACTGTGTATTTTCAGAAGTGCATCATCTAATACAGTAATGAAGTATCTTACATAGCTTACCTTATACATCTTAAATACAGTTACTTTTATTCTTCCTTTCTTCATGATATATCCTTTTGCCATAAACTCATGATCAAGCTGGAAGGAGATAAAACATATCTGTTTTAAATAGTTTAACAATAAGTTAATATGGAATAACAATAGCCAACAGATGATGAGGGTATCAAATGAGTTAGGTAAGGAAAAATTGGATATCAGATTAGAGGGAGAGAGTATGGAAGAAGTGAATGTGTTCAGATATTTGGGAGTCGACATGTTGGCAGATGGGTTTATGAAAGATGACGTAAATCATGGAGGGCAATGTTTGGCATAAATATCATGCAGAGAATTCATAGTTTCAAAATTAGGAGGAGGTGCGGAGTTACTAAAAATATTATTCAGAGGCTGAGTAGGGGTTGTTGAGGTGGTTTGGTCATTTAGAGAGGACGGAGCAAAATAGGATGACTTGGAGGGTGTATAAATCTATAGTGGAGGGAAGGTGGTGTAGGGGTCATCCTAGGAAAGAATGGAGGGAGAGAGGGGATAAAGGAGGCTATGTCTGCAAGGGGCTTGGATATATAGCAAGTATGTGTGAGCATGTTAGATAGGAGTGGAGACGAATGGTTTTTGGGGACTTTACGAGCTGTTGGAGCATGAGAATGGTAATGTGTATTTTTGTGAAGGAATTCAGGGAAACCGATTAGCTGGACCGGAGTCCTGGAGGTGGGAAGTAGTGCCTGCACTTTAAAGGAGGAGTTTGGGATATTTGCTGGTTAGAGTGACATCTAAACTGTGGTATCTGCATAATTCTGGCAAGTCAGTGATAATGTGAATGATGGTGAAAGTATTCTTTTTCGGGTTACCCTACCTCAGTGGGGAAGGGCCATCATGTTAAAAAAAAACAAGGGGAATATTTTCCCTTGAAAATACTAAGGCTTAGGTTGTGAGAGCTCTGTTTACATTTTATATTCTTAATGTACAGAGAATAAACATGAAATTATTTGGAAAACAAGAAATATGTGCAAAAATAATACTGAAACTAAAAAATAACTAACATTCTGAGTGGAATAAAATTTTATATTTAAGCAAAATCATTAGCAATGTATTAAGTAGAAAAATGCCAATGTGGCCACAGTTATGAATATTTAAGTTCATAGTTTTATTTGGTAAACAATGTGGAGTAAGAAACAAGACATACATCTTAAAAGTATACCTACTGTTTTTATAGTTTATTTTTGGATAAGAGCACCCTACTGAAATGAAATTTATTAACTACAGTAATTGTAGGCCTAGAAATTTACTTTATATTTGGCTTACTTTATACTTTATATTTGGTTATTAATTTATCCAACAGTCTACCTGGAATGGATTTATTCTAGATGCAGTAGTAAAAAATACAATAGGTCTTTACAAGAGGATTCAGGGAAACCAGTTATCCAGACTTGAATCCTGGAGGGTAGAAGTTTAATGCCTACACTCTGAAGGAGAACTGGGGATGTTGCAGTTTGAAGGATTGTTTGAATTGTGATGTCTGTGCACTTCTGGCAAGACAGTTCTTGAATGAATGATGATGAAGGTATTTTCTTTCTTATGGATTACCCAGTGTTAAATAAAAAATAGAGTTTGTCATCATTTAATTCTTAACTTTATTAAGTTCACACTGTTTTCTGTCATGAATAGCACAAGAGTCAGTGTTCGAAAAGAGAAAGTTTGTGTCACCAAGAAAGGTTTCAATATGTCACAATATTTCTCAACACCATAAACAAATAAGTTACCTTTTAAAGTTCTAAGTAGAGCATTAATTTCAACTCATCACAATTTTTACCAATAACTAGAAAAGATTAGGTTTTAAAGTTCTAAGAATCATACTCTTACCTTTGCTCCAAGTTCTTGAAGAAATTCACACACATTACTACTGACAGGAACATCCAGGCAATTACGTAGCAGTGCTGGATAATTACCTTTAAACAAAGTCAATAAGAAATAAGAAATCAATATGTAACTTTGTGGTATTAGGACGAAAAACATTTACCTTAAAGACAACTATCCTATCTATAAATAGACATCAAAATTAATGAATCTGAAACAGAGAAAAAGGATGAAGGTAGTTCTTAGGTCTGATTGTACATTTATTTATATTATTATCACACTGGTCGATTCCCACCAAGGCAGGGTGGCCCGAAAAAGAAAAACTTTCACCATCATTCACTCCATCACTGTCTTGCCAGAAGGGTGCTTTACACTACAGTTTTTAACTGCAACATTAACACCCCTCCTTCAGAGTGCAGGCACTGTACTTCCCATCTCCAGGACTCAAGTCCGGCCTGCCGGTTTCCCTGAATCCTTCATAAATGTTACTTTGCTCACACTCCAACAGCACGTCAAGTATTAAAAACTATTTGTCTCCATTCACTCCTATCAAACACGCTCACGCATGCCTGCTGGAAGTCCAAGTCCCTCGCACACAAAACCTCCTTTACCCCCTCCCTCCAACCTTTCCTAAGCCGACCCCTACCCCGCCTTCCTTCCACTACAGACTGATACACTCTTGAAGTCATTCTGTTTCGCTCCATTCTCTCTACATGTCCGAACCACCTCAACAACCCTTCCTCAGCCCTCTGGACAACAGTTTTGGTAATCCCGCACCTCCTCCTAACTTCCAAACTACGAATTCTCTGCACACCACACATTGCCCTCAGACATGACATCTCCACTGCCTCCAGCCTTCTCCTCGCTGCAACATTCATCACCCACGCTTCACACCCATATAAGAGCGTTGGTAAAACTATACTCTCATACATTCCCCTCTTTGCCTCCAAGGACAAAGTTCTTTGTCTCCACAGACTCCTAAGTGCACCACTCACTCTTTTTCCCTCATCAATTCTATGATTCACCTCATCTTTCATAGACCCATCCGCTGACACGTCCACTCTCAAATATCTGAATACGTTCACCTCCTCCATACTCTCTCCCTCCAATCTGATATCCAATCTTTCATCACCTAATCTTTTTGTTATCCTCATAACCTTACTCTTTCCTGTATTCACCTTTAATTTTCTTCTTTGCACACCCTACCAAATTCATCCACCAATCTCTGCAACTTCTCTTCAGAATCTCCCAAGAGCACAGTGTCATCAGCAAAGAGCAGCTGTGACAACTCTCACTTTGTGTGTGATTCTTTATCTTTTAACTCCACGCCTCTTGCCAAGACCCTCGCATTTACTTCTCTTACAACCCCATCTATAAATATATTAAACAACCACGGTGACATCACACATCCTTGTCTAAGGCCTACTTTTACTGGGAAAAAATTTCCCTCTTTCCTACATACTCTAACTTGAGCCTCACTATCCTCGTAAAAATTCTTCACTGCTTTCAGTAACCTACCTCCTACACCATACACTTGCAACATCTGCCACATTGCCCCCTATCCACCCTGTCATACGCCTTTTCCAAATCCATAAATGCCACAAAGACCTCTTTAGCCTTATCTAAATACTGTTCACTTATATGTTTCACTGTAAACACCTGGTCCACACACCCCTACCTTTCCTAAAGCCTCCTTGTTCATCTGCTATCCTATTCTCCGTCTTACTCTTAATTCTTTCAATTATAACTCTACCATACACTTTACCAGGTATACTCAACAGACTTATCCCCCTATAATTTTTGCACTCTCTTTTATCCCTTTGCCTTTATACAAAGGAACTATGCATGCTCTCTGCCAATCCCTAGGTACCTTACCCTCTTCTATACATTTATTAAATAATTGCACCAACCACTCCAAAACTATATCCCCACCTGCTTTTAACATTTCTATCTTTATCCCATCAATCCCGGCTGCCTTACCCCCTTTCATTTTACCTACTGCCTCATGAACTTCTCCCACACTCACAACTGGCTCTTCCTCACTCCTACAAGATGTTATTCCTCCTTGCCCTATACACAAAATCACAGCTTCCCTATCTTCATCAACATTTAACAATTCCTCAAATATTCCCTCCATCTTCCCAATACCTCTAACTCTCCATTTAATAACTCTCCTCTCCTATTTTTAACTGACAAATCCATTTGTTCTCTAGGCTTTCTTAACTTGTTAATCTCACTCCAAAACTTTTTCTTATTTTCAACAAAATTTGTTGATAACATCTCACCCACTCTCTCATTTGCTCTCTTTTTACATTGCTTCACCACTCTCTTAACCTCTCTCTTTTTCTCCATATACTCTTCCCTCCTTGCATCACTTCTACTTTGTAAAAACTTCTCATATGCTAACTTTTTCTCCCTTATTATGATTGTACATAATACTGTAAATTAAAATTTAATGTTCATCTCCTGCTCACTTTAATAAAATTTAAAACACTGTAGGTATATGTGTACTCTTCAAAATTTGCTATGTTCCTCCATCTATACTACTAACACACTACTACTCTCTCATTTACCCATACCTTACCTATGAAGAAGAATAAAAGTCACAATACCATGGCTGGAACAATTCACCACAAATCTGCACTTAGAAGCTTCTCTTTTAACTATGAGGGTTTCGGTGAACCTTACTCACAGAATTTGTGCTTGAGGTTCTACCTCAGCTATCCACCACAAACCAATTATCACATAACAAAAGGAACCTATCAAAATTATCACCAACAAGTGTTACACAACACACTATGCTCTTATTCAAATCTCGAATCCTATGAAACATAAATGCCATACATACTAAGCACTGTTCACTCCACATCTTTAAAACACTACAGTGATGCTGATGCTGACCAAAGACATTTCCTGGAAAACTGCAACAAAACACACAGGCATCACACTTGTAACAAATACTGGACCTCTCTGATATTCCTCGGGTTTGCCTGAGAATAACTTACCAGATGAATTACAAAATAAATTAATGAATTCAAACATAACTAAAAAAAAATTAGGCTTAATGTCTTTTCCTGAAATGCAATTAAAATTTTTACATCCAAGTTATAAATCATGCCACATTCCTTTAACCCTTTGAGGGTTTCAGCCGTACTAGTACGGCTTACGACCCAAGGTTTTTGACGTACTTGTATGCCTAAATTCTAGTGCCCTCAAATCTAGTAGGAGAAAGCTGGTAGGCCTACATATGAAAGAATGGGTCTATGTGGTCAGTGTGCACAGTATAAAAAAAATCCTGCAGCACACAGTGCATAATGAGAAAAAAAAACTCTAACCGTTTTTTTGGAATAAAACAGCGACTTTGCACTGTATTTTCGTATGGTATTTATTGTTGTATTCTAGTTTTCTTGGTCTCATTTTTATAGAATGGAAGACATATTACAGAAAATGAGATGATTTTGACTGGTTTTACAATGAAAAGTACCTTGAAATTGAGCTCAAAGTAGCAGAAATGTTCGATTTTTACCAAAGTTCAAAGGTAAACAAATCATGCCAGGCGTCCAATACACGTCAACTGGCGAGTCTAATATTCTTTTGCAAGTGCGCCAATATTATTTATACCATTTTTTACACTAATGCAGTAGTCTGCATAACAGTAAATCTTCTATTTTTTGTGAGAATAAAAATTCAAAGTGGAAAGCAAAAGAATGTAAGAGGGGCCTTGAGACGTGACTAATGAACAGAGGAAATGTCATTTTAGTGCCAGGAATGTCTTTCTTGTTTATTCTGGACCCTATTCGGAAATTGGCATCATTTGAAATTTGTGTGAAATTGGCAAAATTGCTAAATTCTGACCACTGTACTAGATAGTTGAAATTGGTAAATGGGTGGTTTCTTGCACTCATTCGATAGAAAAAATGGAGTTCTAGCGAAATATTCATGTTTTTTGTCGACTAGTACAGTGGAATTGGCCGAAAATGGGGCTCAAAGTGGGCAAAATTGCCGATGCGTAAACATCGCCAAGACCACTAACTACGCGAGAGCATAATTCCATAAGTTTTCCATCAAATTTCATAATTTTGGTGTCATTATGATTGGGAAAAGATTCTCTATCTTTTCCTAAGAAATTTATTTATTTTTTTTTTTAAATTTAGCCGATCCTGAGAATGAGTCTCGGAGAGGGCCTGTCGACCCTCAAAGGGTTAATTTTAAATGTAATTGTATCTTCAACTATATATACATCATTACTTCCTTATTTCCTTTTAAATCCTCTTGTAATAAAGTTTCAATTTTACTTTAAATTTTAATTTATCTTTCAGTAATTGCTAAATTTTCACTAAAATCTGTATCAAATACTATGTAATTTTATATTTTAATGTGTACTATTACATTTATATACAGTGCCCAATAGATTTATTTTTATATTGTTAATATCAGTACTAGCTTAAGACAGCATGAATTGCTATGTATATTTTTCTTGTTAGAAATACATATACACTGATAAACCCAACAATGAAAGAAAGAAAAGAAAGATATACACTGTTAACTTACTAATGTATCTTCTTCAGATATGAACTTATTTTATTCTCACTTTCACAGGGGCTTTACAAAATCAATATTTGGCAAATGCAACATGGAAGTACGGTGGTACCTCGAGTCTCGAACAGCTCCCAACTTGAACAATTATGTAAGTGTATTTTTGTAAGTGCTTTTGTAAGTGTATTTTTGGGGGGTCTGAAATGGACTAATCTAATTTACATTATTCCTTATGGGAACAAATTCGTTTGGTATCGGCACTCGAACAGCCTCCTGGAACGAATTAAGTTAATAACTCAAGGTACCACTGTATATACAAAAATGAAGGTAGGAATGGTCCTTATTGCCAAAGAGCTTGAAATGGAACTTTCCAGCTCAAGATTAAAGGTTCCTGTGAAACTCTCAAATCTCGAATATGGAGATAGGACAGGCCAACTTTCTCTCTTTCCTAGATGTTAATAATAATAACAATCAAATGAATAGCTAAACTTAAAAGGTTCATACATCCTAGATGTTAAAATCTTTAAAATCAAACACACCCCAAACTTTGAAGACTACAGAAAACCTATGAATATGGAAGATCTTATACATTTCTTTTCCTACCATGACACATTAAATGGAGCTGTCACTGGGTTTTCTCCTTCATACCCATACAATCTGTATTTTCAAATTTCTTGACCGGGAAAATAAAAAACCTCCTTCTGGCATAAATATTCCCTTTTTTCTCTTTACTTAATTTGTGGCCAGTTTTTTCTCCAAAAAAATTTTTCCCAAATACCCCCCTTTAAGAAAGACAAACATTAAAAATTTCAAAATATTCAAATTCCCAGACCCCAACCAACCCCATACAATAGGGGAAAAAACTGAAATTTCCTTTGGGGGGGTGGATACAAAACCTTCCTAAAACGGGCTTTTGAATAAAAATTTGCTACAGGATCATATTGGAACAATGTTCTAAACTCTAATTAACGAAAAAACAAAAGGGGGGCTTAACTGCAACAAGCAGAAAAATTCTCCTACATTGTGATGATCAAACCAAACCCCAAAGTTTCTCCTTCCATTGTTACCCTACTCTACCTCCCCTTTTTTGGTACTGGTTCATGTCATGTTTTTTTGCTATACGATTTAAAAAAACTAGGGGGCAAAACTTCTTTTAAAATAAAAGTTTATTAAAATACTTAAAACCTTGGTTTTCAAATTTACCTTCATTTGGATTGATTCATACCAAAATTGGCAACCCAAACTTTTTTTCCATAAAAATAATGTAACGAATTAATCATTCCAGACCCTCCAAATAAAAATTAAAATATATATTAATAAGACTATCTACTACTCATAAAACAATATTAAAAAAATTACACGGGAAACTGAAAAAAAGATCTAAAGAAAATTTCCGAAATACTGTCATAAATAAAATTTTAAGCTTTTACTGTCAAGGAAACTAAATTTTTTCTCTTCTTTGTCTTTTTTCACTATTAACATTTTTTGGGCCCCAACTGTTTCTTTTCCATAAAAACAGCCAGGGGTTTGTTTCAAGCTAGTGGCTTATCTCCCAATAAAAAAAATTGCACCAAAACGCAAAATAACAAAAAAAATTCACAAGTGCAAATAAACTCAAGAGTGTTTTAAACCATACAACTAGTGGCTATACTGACTCATTCCATACAGCTGTGGTTTATACTGACTATTCCATACAACTATGGTAACTGACTCTTTCCATACAAGCTAGTGGCTAACGACTCATTCCATACAAGCTAGTGGTTACTACTCAATTTTCCATACAAGCTAGTGGCTTTAATGACTCTTTCCCATACAAGCTATGGCTAAACTGATCATGTCCATACAAGCTAGGGCTATACGACTCATTCCATACAGTAGTGGCTAAGACCCATACCATACAAGCGGGGGGCTATACTACTAATTCCTACAACTGGGTATATGTAACCAACAAAGCTAGTGGCTTTAATGACTCATACCCATAAAAAGTCAACTATCACATAAATATGGTTAGGACCAATATACAAAGGGCTATATGATTACCTAAAAGTATGGCTTACTTTCTCATCCCCATAAAGAGGGCAACGACTCTATATAAAGTAGTCTATAAAAAACCCAACAAGCTGTGGTAAATGATAAATTTTAACAACTATTGGTATAGGGACTCATATCCATAAAAAGCTTGGTAATGATCAATCCAAAAGACAATAGCCATACCATAAACTGTGGTATACGACTATATCCAAAAGCTAGTCTATATGATTATCCAACAAGAAGTGGCTTTTATGATCAATCCAAACAAGCTGTGGTATAGATCATTATAAAGCTAGTGGTATAAATTGATCATAATTCCAAAAAAGCAAAGGGATAAGACCACCTAAAAAGCTGTGGCTATCGATCATATATACAACTGTGGTATACTGACTCATATCATAAAGCTATGGCTATATTATCATATTTTACACTAGTGGTAATGATCATATCCTTTTACGCAGTGGCTAACTCCCTCTTCCCCCATAAATGTCTTATACCCCCCCAAACCTACGCTAGTGGTTTTATTATATATAACAAGCTAGGGGCAACTGACTATTTTCCATACAGTAGGGAAAAACTGAATAAATCCATACAATTATGGTTATGATCATTCCACAAGCTGTGGTATCGACCCCAAATATAAAGTTAGGGTATATATAATCCATCAAGCAGTCTTATGATAATCCATAAAGTAGTTTTAAAATGCTTTATATAAAGCAAAGTGGCATACTGAAAAATATCAGCTATTGTTTATACGACTCTTTCCCATACAAGCTAGGGGCTATACGACTCATATCCATACAAGCTAGTGGCTATACTGACTCTTTTCCAAAAAAGCTAGGGCTAACTGATCAATTCTACAAGCTATGGCTATACTGATCATATCCAACAACTAGTGGCTATACTGATCATATCCATACAAGCTAGGGCATATGACTCATATCCATCGCTAGTGGCTATACTGATAAATACAAGCTGTGGTTAGTCATACCTTTAAAGGGTGGCTATAGGGTATTTTTAACGTAGGGTTTGATCATATCCATACAAAATTATACGACTCAATATACACTGGGGTATATCTCAACCATAAAGTAGGGCTATACTGACCATTCCATACAAGCTAGTGGCTAACGACTCATACCCAACAAGCTATGCTAACTGACTCTGTCCATAAAGCTAGGGGCTAAACTGCTCATGTCCATACAAGCTAGGGCTAAAACTGACTCAATCCATAAAAGCTGTGGAATACGACTCATATCCATAAGCTAGGGGGCTAACGACTCTATCCATAAAGCAGTGGCAAATGATCAAAACCATAAAAGCTAGTGGCTAACTGACTATATCCTACAAGCTAGTGGCTAAAACGACTCTATCCATACAACTAGGGCTATACGACTCATATCCATACAAGCTATGGCTATACTGACTAAATCCATACAAAGTGGCTATACTGACTCATTCCATCAAGCTAGTGGTAATGATCATTTCCATACAAGCTAGTGGCTATACTGACTCATATCCATACAAGCTAGTGGCTATACTGACTCATATCCATACAAGCTAGTGGCTATACTGACTCATATCCATACAAGCTAGTGGCTATACTGACTCATATCCATACAACAGGGGCCCTATACGACCATACCATACAACTAGTGGCTTACTCTCAATCCAACAAGCTAGTGGCTAACTGACCATACCATAAAAGCTGGGGCATATGACTCAAAATCCATACAACATGGCTATACTGACTCATACCAACAAGTAGTGGCTAACGACTCAATCCATACAAGCTAGTGGCTATACTGACTCATATCCATACAAGCTAGTGGCTATACTGACTCATATCCATACAAGCTAGTGGCTATACTGACTCATATCCATACAAGCTAGTGGCATACTGACTAAACCCATACAAGAAGTGGCTAACTGATCATATCCATAACTAGGGGCTAACTGACTCTTATCCATACAAGCTAGTGGCTATACTGACTCATATCCAAACAAGCTAGTGGCTATACTGACTCATATCCAAACAAGCTAGTGGCTATACTGACTCATATCCATACAAGCTAGTGGCTATACTGACTCATATCCATACAAGGTAGTGGCTTACTGACTCTACCCATACAAGCTGGGGCTTACTGACTCTATCCATAAAAGCTAGTGGCTATACTGACCATATCCAAAAAAGCTAGGGGCAAACTGACTCAATCCATACAAGCAGGGCTATACTGACTCTTTCCCAACAAGCTAGTGGCTATACTGACTCTATCCAAACAAGCATGGCTATATGATCATACCCATAAAAGAAGTGGTATACTGACTCAATCCAACAACTAGGGGCTATACTGACCATACCATAAAATGGGGCTATACTGACTCATATCCAACAAGCAGTGGCATACTGTCATTCCATACAAGCTAGTGGCTATACTGACTCATACCCCATACAAGTTAGTGGCTTACTGACTCAATCCTCAAGCTGTGGCTTTTTGACTCGTTCCATACAACTAGGGGCTATACGATCATATCCATCAAGCAGTGGCATATGACTCATACCAACAAGTAGTGGCTATACTGACTCAAAAATCCATACAAGCTATGGCTATACTGACTCATATTCATAAAAGCAGGGGCCCAAAAAAGTAGGGGCTAACTGACTCATATTCATACAACAGGGCCAACAAGCTAGGGCATACTGACTCTTTTTTCCAGTTTCCACCCCATTGTCCAGGTGCATTCCATGAGCACTTGACCTGAGCCGCTTGGCCTGCTCCATACACAGAAAATTGCCCCGTCGACAACCAAGAGAACGTATGAAAAACCCGGACATTTTTTTTTCCGAACCCTCATTTAAAACCGATTTAGTCGACAATAAGCATTTGACAACTGAATGGCAATTTTTTCCATTCCATAAAAATTGGAATATAAAATTAAGGGATGTAAAATCTAGAAAAAAAAAAAATAACTTTTAAAAATTTTGGGCCAATGACAATGCTGTCCCAGTTTCAGGGTATCCAACATATCGAAATTGAAGGGAAGCTCAGGGGGGTCAACGCACGTTTACCCGAAATGAACCCTTGTGCTGCAGGCCAGGGTCCCCTGGGGTGAAAAATGAATATTAAAATTCTCTGCAATGCACATCATGTAAAAATTTTTAAAACGTACTTTTTAAAAACTACCATAAAAGGAAAAGAAAAGCTAAACTTTAACTCACACAAATAACCCTTTACAAGAGAGGGAAAAGCTTGCAATGACTTTCGGTTTAACCTAACCATTACAAAGTCCCCCAACAAAAAGAATGAGGAAGCCATTTATAGGGAGGAGAAAAAGGGATGGGGAAAATGAGAGGGGAAGAGGAAGTAGTGGGAGTGGCAGTGGTAGTATTAAATTAGAAGGGGGGGCCGTCGAGACAAAAAAAGGAGCACTGCAGGAAAATAAGGCCCGCAAGGAGAAAAACTAAAAGCAGGGGGAAGGGGAACTGACTAACAAACACAATAGGATAAGGAAGAAAAACAAAGAAAAAAAAAAGGAAAAAATAGGAAAGAAAAAATTCGAGCACCATGAATTTAACCTGACCTTTTTTCTCTTCCTTTCTTAATTTTTTCCTCTCTTCACCTAATGTGTTCTGTTAGCTTTCCCCCCCCCCCCTGCATTTGGTCCACCCCTTTAGGCCCTTAGTTTTTCCCAGTGCTCTTTTTCTTTTCCTTAACGACCCCCCCCCCAGTGCCAGATTTACCTTTAGGCTTGGAGGTGAAGCCTAGGGCCTAAATCTAGGCCTCCAGCCAAATGTATAATATTTTGACGTGTCCCCTAGGAAATTTTTTTATGCATGCTGTCATAAATACTGAGTCTCTGAGCAACCCTTATTAATGTTCCTTCACTCCATTTGTTTTTACACTGTCTGAACTCCAGTGTGTCTCGTTCTCTCTATTTACTATTTCGTTAATAGTTGATTTTCGCGACAATGGGGTCTAAACTTTTTTGGATAAAAAAAAAAGTCATAAAATTCTTACTTTTTGTGCCAAATAAAATGATTAAACTTTGTAACTGACTTTTTTGGGTTATTCTAGGGTTTTCTACAATATCTCTAGGTATGATAAAGTATGTACGTTTTGTGTAACCTGAAAAAACTTTCTTACTAAAAAGGGATGTTGATGGGTGAGATAGCCCATACCTTGGTTTTGGCTGTAAAACATAGCAGTTTTGAACAATAAGGGGAAATGCTGAAGGGAAAAAAAAAGTGCTACCCAGGACCATAGTAAGTAAGTAGAGAAGTTTTTTTCAGGGGTTTCAAATACATTACAGCAGCATAGCCTAGAGAACCTAGGTAAAATCAAAAAAAATCAGACAAAGTATTTATGCTGACTGAAAAACTTTTTTACACTGCCACTCACCTCTCACACATTCATATTACTATTTTAACGTAAGTAACAAGTGCACTGTGGTGCATTTTACTTTTGTGTTTTTTAATGCCTAGTTCTATTGCTAACTTATTATATGTTAGGTAAACCTTTATCTAGATTTATATGCATTTAAGTGAAAAAAGAGGGTGTTCCACTTTATGGTGATTTCCGCTTTACGGCGGTAGCCTGGAACCTAACCTACTGTACTGTCTTAAGCCAATAACTCTGCAATAGCACTGATTTCTGTATTGATTTTTGTCCTTCCAGTAAAGCGTGAGATAGATCAGTTATGAGCCTCATCATTGTACTCAGTGTTAAAAAGAAGGTGATACCCAAACTTCAAGCTAACAATCTTTTGCAGCAAATGGGAAAAACTGGAATTTTGTTTATGCTGCATTTTTTTGGGAAAGTTGTAGGTCATTTTCACAAAATCACAAAGCCATTCAGAAACAGAATGTTTTTCTTGGCATGTTGTACACTTCACTTTAGGTATTTTAAAGCAAAATTAGGAAGATTTTGAGACTTGAGCAACAAGCAAAAACCACCTTTTCCAAAAATTAACTACAGAACTGTTACATGGAACAGAGTAAAAAACAGCAAGGAAGTGACGGGAATGACCTAGTCCTGATGCCTTAAATAATCTCTTCAAGAGAAAAAGTTTTTGTATAAAATCCTTTTTCCTTACCAGATGCCTTTAAGCCCAATTTAAGAAGAACACGTGTACAGTGAGTTGCAAAATGTTTTTCCCCTTTTTTGCCAATCTGACAGCATCTAACAAAGAAAATTTAGCAAGTGTTTTAAGCGTTTTGATGGCAACAACCCGGAAGTTTTACCTGAACTTACTGATGAACTTCGCACTTTCCTTTACGTGAGACAAAGCCATAGTCCTACAGAAAAGCTTTACTTTCTCATACAGACTTTCACAAATTATTACAAAAAAAAAAAATTCAGATCCTTTCCTAATGTAGATCAAACTTGCAGCTATTTCTTGCGCTTAAAGCACTAACTGCCAAAAAAATTAAAAATAAATTAAGGGCCACAGTGTCTCGAGAGGTTGTCTGCACTGAGCATTCTGTGACAAACATAGACAAACAAATTTTGCTAAGAGGAAGGCTAGATAAAAGCTTTTTTAAATCTCTGAAAAAAAATGTATTTTAAAGAATATATAAGTAAACTTACAATTTCATTTTCCTAAAAATTCCTGTTTATTCCACAATATGTTCACAAAGTTCGGCTATTGCAAGTGTTTTTCAGTGTTAATTTTAACATTTATACTTTTTTCAATTTTCTAAGTATTTAACAAAAGCATTTTTGTCCTGAAAAGGAATTGTGAACTCAGAATTTTTTAAAAAAAACCCCTTTTAAACCTTGGGTTCACGAATTTTTTTTAAAAAAACTATTCCCCTTTTCCCAATTGAGGGGAGGGGGTTGGGGGGGGCCCACAAATATAATACCTAGGGCCTCTCCATCTAAATCAAAAAACTGCTGACCCCACTTCTACTTCCCTTTGTCTTTTCCCCCCCCCCCTTCCTCTATTGCTACTACTTTTACTTTTTCCCCCCCTTCATCCTTTTTCCTCTTTTTTCTCTTTTTCCCCTAAATGCTCTCCCTATTTCTACTACCATTTTTTTTTTCTACTACTAACTACCAGTAGTCATAAGCTAAGAAAGGCACCTGAGATCCTCTAAAAAATATGCAACAATGTCAACTAAATTGTTCAAATGTATAGTCTCTGTAAAAGAAAATATTATTATTATTATCATAATATCATGACAAGCACATTAATTATAAGTCTTGAATGAAATTGTGACCGACAAATTTGCTATGACAACTGCATCACACTTAGAAATTTTTGATAAAGAATATTAAAGTTATTTCATTCTGTACTTTTATATGGCACCCCCGCGCAAACCCGTTAAGAATTCAAAAAGCCAAAACACACACACACACACACACACACACACACACACACACACACACACACACACACACACTGTGATTAATAACTGGGATAGGATAAGAGCATTTATAAAAACCAAGCCTACCTTATTAAAAATCACATAGGAAAAATATATAGATTATTTAGAATAAATATTAATGAATTGTTGGAAATAATACTATATGTGAAATATTAAACGTACACTTGACAAGCATCTTTGAAGAAGAATGGGATTTAAATGAGACAAAATTTACATAACTGAAAACAAATACGTATATACAAAGGTGCAGAAAAAATAATAATTATTACAGTCCTGAACATTTTTCCACAAAGACTAATATTTTGTGAAGGGACTCGGGGAAACTGATTAGCTGGACATGAGTCCTGGAGGTGGGAAGTACAGTGCCTGCAACTGGCTGTTTGGAGTGACATCTAAACTGTCATATCTGGGCACCTCTGCAAAGACAGTGATTGTGTGAACGATGGTGTGTTTGTTTTTTGGGTCACCCTGCCTTGGTGGGAGATGGCCAACGTGTTGAGAAAAAAATTGGATTAAAATAGGCTCCAAAATAAAGTATAGGAAGTCCTTGAATGACACTGTTTTGTTCAACATCATTTCCTCATAGTACTGATAGGAAAAAAAAATTTTCCCTGCCAGGGCTAATAAGTGGAGACAGTAAAATAAAAATTCGTAAAGTATGCAATAATCATGTAAATGCATGACAATAAACGATGCAGTACAAAAAAACCACTCAGCAAGCTCCTCATATTTGTTATTGTTTTTGAACTGTGTGGTGTTAGGAGGTGCTCCTTATGATTTTCGCTTTGCAAACATTTATTCCTTGATTTAACTCTGTTGCAATGAGTGCAATGTGCACCCCTGATGTCTGTGGCCACAAAAAAAAAAAAAAAAAAAAAAGAGGAGAGAGAGAGAGAAAGTATGACATTAGAAACTAAACTAGAAGTTTTAAAGAGGTTTGACAATGGACGGTGAGGTATGGTTTCATTATATGGATTTTCACTTATAGTAGCAGTTTCCTAGAGTTGCTGTGAATCCTGAATCTGCGAGTAATAAAAATTTTTGCATATACGAGTTACTTAAAAAAAAAATGACCATATTTCTTTAAAATATTGCTTTAATCTGCTAATACTGATACTGATAAGAAAATGCAAGCACATTTTGAATGAGATCCTATGGTTGTAATTTTCAATTTAAGAGACATGTGTACAGCAAAAAAAAAAAAAATGAACACCAAGAAAAAGTGTGGGTAACTGAATCTATTTGTTGAATAGCCTTCAGTAAAATGATGCATAATGGAATCACAGGAATTAAAAAGCATGCAAATTCCAGGGTTCAATCATAATGCAGTCTGCAATCACTGGATTATTATTTGTATTGTATTCAGAAGGAAACATTCAACTTGAGTGGGTTATACAGAACCAAATGCAGTCACTGGAAATATCAAATTTATGTATGATAATATTTATTAAGAAAGATGCCTCAAACTTAGCTTTGCTCCTGTACTGGTAACTATGAATACACACATATGATAGGAGTGTCAAGGTAGGTTCTACTGCATTTACAATGTGTACTTGTAATGAATGTTAACATGTACATAGTATGAAACAAAAAAGGATAAGAATATCACCAAAAAGGAAAAGGAAAAAAAAGGGGCCCCCAAAATATTTCCTTTTATGAAATGCTTACCCAAAAAGGCTTTGCCCACATTCAAACGTTTAAAAAGTTTCCAAAAGGGAGATGTATTTTTTTTTTAACACCCCGGGCCATCTCCCACGAGGCGGTGGCCAAAAATGGAAACCTTCATTTCATTTACGAAATCACGGGTTTTCCCCCAAAAATTGTGCTGGCATCACAGTAAAAGTCCCCGAACTGAACATTTGCGTCCATTTTTCAGAGTACAGGCACTGTGTTTCCATTTCCAGGATTAAAGTTTTGCAAAGCATTTTCCTAAACCCCTTAAATTGAATTTTAAACTGCACAAATTGCATGTCAACCATAAAAAAAACCATTTGTTCCACTCACTCAAAACCCAACTTTCTCCACAAGCCTGTTGTCATTCATCCACCTAAAAACCTCCCCTAGTTCCTCGGGAAAACAGGTGCACTTTACTTCTAATGAATTATTATTATTATTATAATCAAAAAGAGGCACTAAACTCACTAGGACTTCAAATGAAGCTAAAAAAAAAAATGCCATCAGAACATGACTCATTACACAGTAATAGTCACACCCACCCTGGCAAAAGTTTATTTAACACAGTTAAGTTTTGCTGTAAAGGCCATACAGCACCCTCATTTTTACAAATAAATTTGCTGACTTGATTAGCCCACTCTGAATATCAAATTACTAAAAGAAGTAATTCAATTATCAAGAATATGTGCTTAAATTACTGAGTTATTAATAACCATGTTTTATATTCCTAACTTATGTTTTGATTTCCATTTCATTTTGCCTCTTTCTAAAAACATGTCAGGCAACACTTTCTTTTCACACACTTATTTTTTTAACTATGTAAAGTATTGTGACTCTTATACCAGTACAGCATCTGATAGCAAAATCAAATTTAATGACAATAACAACTTCTTTCATACACACACACTTCATATACACACACAACTTCTTTCATGAGAGTTGTGTCAGTGGGAAAAGGCTGTACATGTTACTCAAACCTAATTACATACCATTAAAATCCTTCAAGAGATAAACCACTTCATGATCATGGAATGTTTCAGGAGGTATGTCTGCATTGTCACACAGGCCACGAAGTCGGTCGATAACAACACCAAGTGATGTGTCCAACACTGAGCCTACAAAAGCAAAAAAAACTATTAATGTTTTAAACCTACCAGAAATTACCTGCTAACAAAACAGAAAAAGATCTGAATTTTCTTAACTAATATTTACCAAAATATACATAAGAACACTACACATGCAATGACTGACCAGATAAAAAATTAATTACGTACGTATATACAAAAATAAATAGAAAAGCTAATGAACATCCAATTCTACATTTCATGACCAGTTTTTATCAAAACAATACAAGAATGCCATAAATTTTCAAACAACCTTATTAAAAAGATAATGCAATTTATAAATTATTTAACAGCAGAAAAGTACATAGTGAAACACACACACACTTCTCCCTGGCTTTCAGGGGTTTTCCTTGTTTCAAGGCTCCAGTGGTTCTGGCAGAAAACTTGCTGGGTTTTATAAGTTCATGGAGTTCTTTAGTCTTGATTTAGAGAGCATCAACAAAACTACCCGAAATTATGCTGCATAAGTTGCATGTATATACTATACAGGGTTTATGAGGAAATATTTTGAAAATGAAAAACTTCAACAAAAATCTGTGAAGCATCAAAACTAATACTGTACAGCCTCTCCTCACTTAATGACAGAGTTCCGTTCCTAAGACACGTTGGTAAACAAATTCATTGCTAAGTAAGGAGCATACTATAATGGTAGTGGGTTTGTGTCAAACCATATTGTTTTAATGTCACCTTTGCACCATTTATAACATTTCTGGTATATTTTTTAAATGTTTACACAGCAGTGTACTGTATATTCTGATAAAAAGAACTGAGGAAATGAGCTCTAATATACATTATTTAGGTATGCATACTGGTCAGAAAGCCCATCGTAAGTCCAAGTCATCAGTAAACGAGTGCGTCGCTAAGTGAGAAGAGGCTGTACTCAGAGTGTATAATACAGTAGGACCCCCCGTATCCGCAGGGCATATGTTCCAAGGAAGTGCTGCAGATACCAAAACTGCAAATAGTAGTAAACCCTATAGGTAAGTCCTATACATAAATATTACAAAGTTTAATTGATAAATTATGCACAATATGTGGAGAATTATCACTTTTTCACAGATGGGAAGCACTTCACATCTTTTCTTAGGCTTTGAAGAACTGCCAGCTTCTTTACTTTTGTCCTTTGGAGCCATTATTAATGCAAAATTAAAAGGTATTTTTGGGCCACAGTAAATAGCAACTTCTTACAATTATCCAAAAATTACCCTATGTATGAATTCTAGTACATGCTTATGAAAAATATATGATTTAAAAATCAGATAAATAACTATAACTTACCCTGTAGTAGAAATTCTTGATCAGGAACTATTTGGTTCTTGATAGCTGATTCTATCGTCTCGCCAACATGCGGAACGCTCATAGGCAATGCCATAGTTAATTCATATATAATAACCTGAAAATATAGTTTATGAATATGGTAACATGTGGAGGGTAAAGTTTTAAGACAATTTTTAAATGATTTTACAAATATGTTTACATTTTTTCAATAATTTTAAGGGCACAAAAATGTTAGGACATAGATGACGGGCAGAAGTGTATAAGGCACAGAAGACAGGGGCAGACATGTATATAGGACACAGATGACAAGGGATTAGGTACTTTTTTCTTTCCTTACATTGTCATTTTCAGTTAACTACTTAACTAGAGAAAACTAATAATTTTTAAATTTAATATCTTTTTTTTTACAAGTACGTAAAAGGTATACAGTCCTAGTGACTCATGACATATATAGATATAGAAACCCACTTGTTATCTGAGCATTTTTTGCAATTGTTAGTTTTATCCCGGATGGACCCACACCAGTCGACAACCCCAGGCACACTTTTATTGATGGGTGAACTAGAAAATGGGTAAAAGAAACACGCCAGTTTTTACCTCACGGAACGGCCCCGGCACTCGTGTGGGAAGCCAAGTTCACCCACCGGGGCCACGGGGGCCCCTGGGGCTGGACAAATGAACCCCCCAACCGCGTTTTTTATTTAAAACACAAAATCCCTTTAGAAAGTTGGTTGATTATTATAATTTTTAAAACATGGGAGCGCTAAACCCGTGGGATTATCAGCGCATGGGGGGGGATTGGGGAAGATATTCAGGTCAACTGGGGGAACCCGGAGCACAGACCCCAATTTTCTTTAGTCAAGACCCCCTCACCACTAAAGGGAATTTCCCCCTGAGGGGAGTAAGGGTATGAGTACCAAAATTATGGCAAAGACACAGTCAGTTACTCTCTATATGGAAATCAATGGAGACTTTTCCCCCACACTGTAGTTTTTCATGGTGTGAAGTGTAATGCTCTTTACTCTAAAATTTTTTCAGATTGCGCCTTTGTAAAACGTAATAACCTTCTTTACGTTTCATTACCTTTGTAATTGCGATTTTCTTACCTTGTACCTAGTTCAGCCATCAAAATTTTGGACCCGGTCCCTGGACCCATTGTGTACCTCGAAATCTGTAAATCCTTTGTAACTTGTCATGTTTGTGACTAAAACCACCTGGATTTTCATTACCTTTGAAAATTGTGATTCTTTCCCTCTGAAACTTGTCACTATCAAAACTTTAGGCCCCCTGGACCCTTTCCTCGTAATTTTTTGACTACCCCCCCGGAGGGTATGGGGTGCTAATAAAATATTAAACTAATATAAACTTGTAGAGTCCCTTGCTTTTGGGGAAATAATCCCGTGCCGACTTTTTTATTATCCTAGGAATTTACATATGTATGATAATTGTACTTATTTGTCCCTGTCCCCTCAATAAATTTACAAAATTTTTATGGCTGGTTGTTGGGTTTATGGGCATGACAGCACACGCCGTATTCTTTCTTTTCTACTTTCTTTTTTTGGGTTTATCAGGCCCTGACTTTTGAGCCGTACGCCCCCGACTTCTCGATGCGTGAGGAAAGTGTTCCCCCAAGGCTGAGCGTGAAAAAAGAAAAAAAAGTTTTTGAAAATAGAAAAGGAAATAAAAGTTCCCAATTAATGGGGAGAACCCCCTTCCCAAAACCCCGCAGACGAGATGCCTTCACCGAAATGGAAAAAAACCCAAGGCCCCCCAATGAAAAAGTCACCATTTTTTGGGGTTAGTTTTATTTTAAAATTGTTTTTATCACCCCATCCCCACCCCTTGGGCGATCAAAAGATTACAGAGGTACAAAATTTGGTCCAGAGACTGGGCTCAAAAGTTTGATAGCTGAGCAAGTTTGAGGGAAAAAGAACTCACAATTTCAAAGGGAAGAACCACAATTTACAAAGGTAATTAATCTACACATGCTGATTTTGATCAGTGGTCACAAGGATCTACGTCCGGGCTGCTTTGAGGGTTTGTGTGGGGATTAAAAGCCATGGCTTGCTTCTGCAGCGTTTGAGGTTGCATTTTGAATGAAAGGTCCCACTTTTTCCCGAGGAAATTAGGGGAGAAGGTTTCTCGATGGGTTTGGGAATAAGTTGAGGGGGGGTGGGGTGGGTGGGGGGGGAACAAGGCTCCCGCAGTGAAGAGCGGTTGTCACTCTCTGCAGGTAGCTGAAGGGGGCGAGGGGAAAAGGGTCCCCCGCAGTTAGGAAAACACTGCCCCCGGGCCAACTCGTGGAAATCCGTGTTCTCAAGAAAGCAAAAAGCCCCTATCCGACCTTTTTCCATCCTATGGAAGGGGGCATGGGAAAAGGGGGCGTCCCACAGTTACTAAAAAACAAAGCATTGCCCACCCACAAAGGGGGGAGTAAAGCAACAGCAAAAACTAAAAACCCTAGCCTAACCCCATATCATAAAAATCTTTGAAAGTCCTAAGAAGCAAGATCACCCCCCTTAGAAACCCCTCAGTTTAAAAACCGGGCAAATGGGTTTTTTGAAAAGGTGCTCCCGTCTGTCTCAATATTGGATCACTACGACAAGGTCCTAGTGCACTAGAAACAAAGAAGAATGCAATGTAATAATAAGCTTTTCAAAAACCCTTTGACAAGTGTGACTGGCGAAAAGCGCACAAAAGCGTGCTAAAGGGGAAAAACAGGAAAAATCGTCGTGGATCTGTAATTTCCCCACTAACGAAAAAATAAAATCCCAGGGAGCTACGGTGAAAAGCTCTTTCCACAAGGCACAGTACTGCTCCCCCTTTTTCCTCATCCCATATCCACAGACAGGATTCAGCCACGCACCGTTTCCTTTTCAGATGACACCCCAATTGCATGACGTCTTCCATTGCAACACGCAAGGGTCCCGGGACATCAACCAAATCTTTCATGGCTGCAGAAAACAATATGAAGTTCAACGATGAGAAATTTCAATTACTCAGATATGGTAAACACGAGGAAATTAAATCTTCAGAGTGCAAAACAAATTCTGGCCACAAAATAGAGCGAAACACCGACGTCAAAGACCTGGGAGTGATCATGTCGGAGGATCTCACCTTCAAGGACCATAACATTGTATCGATCGCATCTGCTAGAAAAATGACAGGATGGATAATGAGAACCTTCAAAACGAGGGATGCCAAGCCCATGATGACACTCTTCAGGTCACTTGTTCTATCTAGGCTGGAATATTGCTGCACACTAACAGCACCTTTCAAGGCAGGTGAAATTGCCGACCTAGAAAATGTACAGAGAACCTTCACGGCGCGCATAACGAGATAAAACTCCTCAATTACTGGGAGCGCTCGAGGTTCCTGAACCTGTATTCCCTGGAACGCAGGCGGGACACATTATTATATACACGAAAATCACTCACTACGAAAGCAAAAGACTTGGCAGACGATGCAACATCCCCCCAATGAAAAGCAGGGGTGTCACTAGCACGTTAATAGACCATACAATAAGTGTCAGGGGCCCGAGACTGTTCAACTGCCTCCCAGCATACATAAGGGGGATTACCAACAGACCCCTGGCAGTCTTCAAGCTGGCACTGGACAAGCACCTAAAGTTGGTTCCTGATCAGCCGGGCTGTGGCTCGTACGTTGGTTTGCGTGCAGCCAGCAGTAACAGCCTGGTTGATCAGGCTCTGATCCACCAGGAGGCCTGGTCACAGACCGGGCCGCGGGGGCGTTGACCCCCGGAACTCTCTCCAGGTAAATAATGGGTCCAGGGACTGGGTCCCAAAGTTTTGATAGCTGAACAAGGTATAAAAAAAATCCGCTTATGTAGAGCATTTCGGGCATATTAGGTCAGTTTTGTCCCAGGATGCGACCCACACCAGCCGACTAACTCCCAGGTATCCATTTTACTGATGGGTGAACATAGACAACCGGTGTAAAGAAATACACCCAATGTTTCTACCCTAGCTGGGAATCGAACCTAGACTTCGCCGTGTGAAGCGAGAGCTTTAGCCACCAGGCACCGTCTAATAGCAGGAGTGCAAGAAATAAGATAGATGAGCTAAGATTAATTGTAAGTGCAGGAAGCATAGATATTATTGCTGTAACAGACCTGGCTCAATCTGAAAGATTTAGAAATGCCTTTGAATGCCACATGCAAGGCTATAAATTATTCCTTACGGGTTTAGCACTTATTCCTTTCAAGGAAGGTTTTTTGATGCTGGCGAGGGGTTTATCTAGAGAATTGGATCTGTGCTCCAATTTCCTGAATTAAGCCTGTATACCTTCCTTTTGGTTTAGCGCTCCCCCATATTAACATGGGAGCGTTAAAACGGTAGGGATTATACAGCGCTTGAAGAGGGGGTGGAAGGCATTCAGACTTAATTCAGGGAATTGGAGCACATACAATTCCCTAGATCAAGAGCCCTTCATCAGCATCAAGGAACCTCCCTTGAGGAGAGCGCTTGGTTATTATAATTATAATTCTCTATTTCTATTTCTAAAATTAATTTCGGATTTTTTAACCCTGAGGGGTTAACTACCCAAGATAACAGTGGGACTTAGCACCTGGGAGGTATGAAGTTACAAGCCAAGATAGATGGTAACTTCTACTGTAACTTTACTGCTAGACTAAGATGATATTACAAGGACCTCAGTGGAAATCTGATTTTTTTTTTTTTTTTTTTTTTTTTTGGGGGGGGGGGGCTATCCTAGGTAATTTACACGTCACTGTTTACTTATGTGGATCTGTACTTAAACTTATATTCCCACCTGAGGAACCTTCACATAACATACGTAATGAGATTATGACAACTTTCCCTGTCTTGTGTAACTTCTGACGCTGTTTTCATGGATTACTCCATTGTTTGCATTCATTTAAATTTATACGTGTATATTTATATTAATTTATATTTTTAATCAGGCGTGCAATTTTATGTAGAAGCTGTAAATGCGTAGGGCTCACTCAGCGCTTGGGAAATGGCAAACTTGATCCAAGTAAAGGAAAGAAGTCCAATTCCTTGGTTAAAAATCCCTTCACTAACACCATAATCAAAATGCTGTTTACCCCACCCGTAAAAACTGAATTGACAAATTTACAAGTCTAGCCTAAGTCATCTTAAGAGTAATAGCTAAGAATGTTGAGGCAGCCTGGTATATTGTACCTCAGATTTCATCTCGTTAACTTTGACTACTACACAAGATAAGACGATTTATATTTTATCATAATAAAGAGGGACAAGAGAGACGAGTCAGATCAAATTAATTTATTGAAAAAAATAGTTCAGCACAAATGAAGATGCAATACAACAGAACAGCCAATTAAAAACAATATGATGCAGTGGAATTTGAATCTACTGTAGTGCATGTCTTTAGCCTCTAAGATTTTTATATAGATCTGAAGCCTTTTGTTGTAGTCTTAAAGTACAAAGTTATAACATTCTTGAACTGTAGGAAGAGCTGCACACCCTTAGTGTAGGATACCGTCAGTGAAGTCCTCAGAGTCGCTGTCCCAGGCACTGGAATCCTTGCTTAAAGCATTACGTAAAAGGATTGAAGATAATGTCGATCTCGCAATCAAATGATGCACAAGCTGTAAATAGAAAAGTTTCCAGTAGTATACATCACGAACAACTATGATTCTACTACACTCGGGTTCATCAGAATGAATAATTTAGTCCTGCAGAGTTAATAGACTTGGTATACAAGGAAAGTAAATAAAATATGAACTTTTTACATCTTCGAAAAAATGTTAGAGGGTACTAGTAAGAGTTTATTCAATATTACTAAGTAGTATGATTATTGCCAAACAAATACAGAAGTCAGTTAGGTAATGTTAGTCAGGACGAGAGTCAGTCATTGATGACTCAGCTGTAGCTTTTGGTCGTCTGACCGAGGCCTTCCGCTGGCTTACTGGTCCACCCTTCTAAAATGTGGTTATAAATAACCATTTTTAGTTAGAAATCTGTTATGCTTGCTTAAAAAAATAAATTATAAATTTAGGGTTACCTTGAAAGTGTACGATCAACCTCCGCTGTATTAATATATTAGTAGTTGCTGGGTTTTAAAATAAATTAAAATCTGCATATCTTTAATCCAGTTTAAGGTACTTCAGTTTAAAAGAAATTTGAAAATAAAATTTAGTTAAATTAGTTCGAAAAAATTTACTTATAAAATTAGGCTTGACTGATTTATTAGTTTTGAAAATTGTTACTGACCTGTAGTGGATGTTGGTGGCTCAGTGGTTGAGGGAGGAAGGTCAACACATTCACCTGCCTCAGGATCACACACTGTTGATACCAGAACAGCAGTCATTATGTACAGTATCAACTACCTTTAACTATTACTGCAACTTTCATGGTCACAGCCGAGTGCAACGTCTCGTTTTAGGGTTCCTTTGGCATGGTTTGGTCTTAAAGGGAAATTTTGCTAGTTTACGGCAGTTGATAAAGTGACCGCGGGTATAAAAAAAAAATCGTTAAGCGAATTAACAACGATTACGTGAAAGTTTTGTCTTTGATCTTTATTTTAGAGTAAAGGATCCACGGTTTATGTTTGTTAAACGTTATTGTTCGAGTTGAAGCCCTGAAGGACCAACGTCTAGCACTCAATTTACCGATAAATATTGACCAAAAATCATTGGACTATAAATTTTCGTCAGTAATGTTAAAATATTCTGCAGAAGAATGTGGAGACGGGAATATTATTCAAAGGAATATTGACGAAAAGTAGTACACTTTGTGCGGATGTTAAAATAACTGGTCAGCAGCAGGAGTCTTGTCTTGCTACTAAAATATTGCCACAAATATAAATGTGTATTCTCTCCTAGAATGTCTAGTTTTCGTTACAGTTTAAAGAATGAAAACTTGTATTTGAATAAAATAAATTTATTAGAAGAGTTCTTAGACTTTAAATCTAGTTGCATGTTAAACCTAAACAGTGAAGGAAAGTACGAAGATGCTATTTAGCCAAGCAAAAGTTCACAGTACAATAGTAAAGGATTGAGTTGGCTGAGAAATAGTGATACAAGAAGAAATCTTAGCACCAGCAGGGAGAATAATGCTCCAAAGTGAGAAACTGCATTATTTTTAACACACTGGCAGTCTCCCACCATGGTAGGGTGACCCGAAAAAGAAAATAAAACACTTTCACCATTATTCACGCCATCACTCTTGCCAGAGGCGTGCTGATACTACAGTTCAGATGCTCCAAGCTGTAGTATCAAAATCCTCCTTCAGAGTGCAGGCACCATACTTTCCATCTCCAAGACAAGTCCAGCTAACCGGTTCCCTGAAATTCCTTCATAAATGTTACCTTGGTCACACAAACAGCACGTAATGTCATAAAGCCCATCTGCCTCCGCTCACTCTTAACACGCCTGCTGAATGTTAAAGCCCCTCACATAAAACTTAACCCCCCCCCCCAGGTTTTTTTTTTTTTTTTTTTTTTTTTTTTTAAAGGAAGACCCCTACCCCGCCTTCCCTCCATTTCAGATTTACACCCTTCAAGTCATACTACTTTCTCATCTCTAAATGTCCAAACCTCCACAACAGCCCCTCAGTCCTCTGGATAATTATTTTACTAACTTCGAGCCTCCTAATCTCGAAAATACAAATTCGATGCATAATATTCACACTACACATTGCCCAGGACACTACATTTCCATTGACTCCAGCCTCCTCCTCGCTACAACATCCATCACCAATGCTTCGCACTAAGAGTGAAGCATGGGTGGTGAATTCTCTTTTGCCTTCATGGATAATATTCTGTCTCCACTGATGCCTCAACGCACCACAACTTCCCCCCCCCCCCACTCATCAATTCTGATTCACCTAGTGTTTCAGACCCGTCCGCCGAAAAAGTCTACTCCCAAATATCTGAACACATTCACTTCCTACAAATATAGCTAAAAATACTAAAACTACGGTTCCTAATCAGTATTAGGATCAACCAGATGGGATTTCTAGGCAGTTCTACCTGTAACTAGAAAACTTAAGCCAGATCCACTATAAGAGGGCGATTACCTACATGCAAGTAATTTAACTAACTTGTATAACTTCACAAAGCAGTAAACATTCACACGAATACTTCGTTTCAATATAACTATTCGTCGTGACTATTTTTACTGGTTTTATTGAGAAAGCAGCATCTCACCTGCAACCATAGTCTGTATGAACACACGCTCCTTGGTCATCTTCTGCACCTCACCAAGCCAGGTTTTAATCTCTTCCTTTGGGTTCTGTGAACCTTTGGTGATCATGCACAAGTCAAACGCACAAGCTTCTGCAAACAAAAGAAATATACATTTTCTATAGCTATATTTATATATATTTATGTATAAATATTTTTATTTACTACACGTACATGTACAAGGTATACAGTCCTAGCTGACAACAATGACATACTACTATATAGAAACTCCCTTGTTATGCTCTGCATTTCGGGCAAATTAGGTCAGTGTCCCAGGATGCGACCCACACCAGTCGACTAACACCCAGGTACCCATTTTACTGATGGGAACAGACAACAGGTGGAAAGAAACCCGTCCAATGTTTCTACTCTGGCTGGGAATCGAACCCAGGCCCTCGCCGCCCTCGCCGTGTGAAGAGAGCGTTAGCCACAAGGCCACCAGAGCCCTTCCATATATTGCTATGGTACCGAGGCAGTACTAGTGGGGAAGGACAGGGGGCCCCTGACCTAGGAGTATAGTTTTGAAATTTGAAAACTATCAGTGCTCCTTGCAATAAAAGAAAAAAATAACTGAAGGCAAATTAGGGAAAATACTAGAAATGTTATCGCACGGCCAGCAATAACAGCCTGGTTGATCAGACCCTGATCCACCATGAGGCCTAGTCTCTTTACCTGGCCGCGGGGGCGTTGGCCCCCGAAACTACAGGTAAACCAAAATAACCCTCAATCCAAGTCCCATTCAGCTGTTAATGAAAGTCTTGCAAGATCAAACAGGTACACCGGCAGTTATGGAAACTGACTAAATCGAAGAGGCCCAAGTGGTGGTTAAGTAAAATCAGAGTTAAAAACTGATTTGTTTTTAATCAATCAAAGCACTTTCTCCAGGTTACTAAAATTAGAAGAGTTTCCTTAAGAACAAAGTCAATACCGTGACTGGGGGGGAGAAAAAAAAAAAGGTTACCACGACTTTTCAGTCCGACTTGGACCATTAACTAATCACAGAATCTCGAAGTGAAGGGATCAGAATATATACGTTCTACCTCTCCCCCCCCCCCCCCCCTACCCCTCTTAATATTTTGGCTCCCTTTCCTTCGCACTTTGTGTGACTAGTTAATGGAGAAAGTTGAACCGAAACTTAATCATAAGTTTCGGTCTCCCATGTGCGGGTTATCTTTTTACGCCTTTTCTTACCTACGAGAGAACCATTAAGTTCCTTGCCAGCTTTCTGGCCATTGACCTCGATGCTGTTCACCGCCTCATCGCACTGCATCGATAAATTCCTCCAGGAACGTCGATCTTTCTGACAGGTGCGCAGTCTCTTCTCTGCCTCCTATAATACCAGAACTAAAGCGTTAATTAGCACAATAAGCTACAAACTAGAGAAAATGTTCCGGTATATGAGCCTCACACTGACCTCTGAAGTATACAAGTGGAACTTATATAAAAGGTCACATACTCAGGGTAAACCGATCAATTTTACGTATTGGGAATAGGCGATTGTTATAACTGCCTAGGGAAATATTGATGGGAAAATAATGGTAAAGTTAAATTTTATATAAAAAACATTGCAAGATTCAATTTTTCTTAGTCAATGTTACGATCAATGAGACTCTGGAGCTAGTGAACAAACTTTGCATAAAAAAAACCTTTGTATGACTAAACGAATTAAACATTTCAACAAAAATCTGTTAGGTATCCTCGAAGGGGGACCCTTTTTTATACCGTAACGAGGGCCAAATTTTTTGGGACAAGTAATATTGTTCAGGTGCCCTATGACCAGTTATTGCACCCATGCCCAGCATCCTGTAATGAACAAATTCTAAAATCTTCAGTGGCGGAGCTTTAAACAAAAAAATCTATGATGGCGGAGAGTGAAATTCAAGAATATATAAATGCAGCAGCAGAGTTGAAGATTTTTTGTAAAATTTGATTTTTTTTTTAAATCACTTTAAATAATTTTCCGTTTACCTCTTCTGAAAGACTAACTGATGTATTATAGAGCCAGGATGGTAACGTAAGTTTCTTTTGCTTTCAGCCAAATTTATTGAGGCAGTTAAAAAAAAAAACCCACTTGGTATAGTTGCAATCCGTGACATAACTGGAAAAAAAATGATTCGTCTAATCTGCTTCAAACTTTTCCCACAGGTGTGGCTTCCTGAACACAAGGTTCACTCTACTGGGTGGCAGAAGTCCCAAGTTTGCCAATTTAATAACATTTTTTAGTCAACCACTAAAGAATTCTTCAGAGTGATTTCATATTAACGTATTCTATCAGAAGTATAACGACCCATAATTTTAGTTTAAGTAACCAAGTTTGAAATATTACTGAAATAGTTAAAAAAATTAGGAATCGTTAAAACAGACATTTACTGGAGAATATCTTTTCTGATCGGCTTTAACTTTTACCATCGGTGGGTTTTGTTAAAACGGTTTGCCACTTCCAGCTGTGTAAATATCAAGTTGGCAATTTTATTAAGTAAATTATTTCCCCATGTAATAACTTACTTTATTAAAGATTCGCCGGTATTCTCCGGCCCGGGCCTTTTCCAAGTGGTGGCCCGGCCTTGGCTCCCTCTAGGCAGTGTGAGACCCAAGTCTCCCATATTTGTCACTTGGTATTTAGTCACTTAGTATTTAGTCAACTTATTCCATAAATTGTTACAATTTAGGGTTAAGAATTAATCCAAGTTTGCCCGAAATGCCTAGGCATGCTAGGTGTTCTAGTGGCCCCCTCTGCAATTAGTATTTTACTACATGTAAACCACAACCAAAATCTGTAAGCCCTGCAATGTAATCCTTATAGAGAATAAACCGATTTGATATGATGGAAGGAGGCATAAGGACCTCCTAATCTTTGGGACCAACTGTCCTCAGGCCTAGCCACAAGCTACGCCTCTGGTCTGCCATCCCCGCCCCAAGGGGACTAATGGAATGACAGTCTGAGCTACAAGCTCTGGCTCAGGCACGTACCCTACCCTAGAAGGGCTGGGCATGGTGCATCATGTAATAACCAGTGAATGCGTCTTACCGGCTTCAAACCCTATACCTTCTAAAAAAACTTTTCTAATTTTAGGCTGTGGGGGGGGGGGAAATTTTTCCAAATACTTGCCCGTTTCATAAGTTTGTTTTAAACAAATCAAAAGTCAACAGTTTCTTGCAGGATTGTAGAGAATTTTAAGTAGAATGTAAAATAGGAAAAACCAAACTGGAAAAATAGTAACACGCTGTTTTATGGGAATTTTAAGTTTAACGAGGGAGACTTAACTATTTGTCAGAACATTTTCAGCATTAGTTTATTACTCGAGAACTCTACTCTATCGATTTCAAATTTTCGACACTTGTGTAATGTATCTTGGGCAAGATTCACTGGATTATGTGGATGCGTGGGCGGTCCTATGTACAATATTACGTTGGTTATTCCTAAATTTTGTTTTCGTGTGATAGGTGGGGGACAGACCCCTGATCGCCTTATGAATTTCATCAGTTGTGTATCTTAAGAAAGTTGGTATATTTAATGGAGTGATGTAAAGTGTTATTTTACAATATGCCATTATTCTACCCTGACACTTTGTGAGGGGCCTCTTGATTCAAGGAACTGAAGTTCTCTCCCGTGCTTAGATCGAATTTAGACTTCCCATTCCACAGGCATTGTGTGACCCTTACAGGTTTAGCGCTTTCCTCCGATTGAAATTTAACAATCGTGAACGAGATCAGTCCTCAGTGGTCGATACATCTGATTAAACATTTCAACGGTTTAATGTTCATAATTTAATATTCATAACTTTTACTAATATAGGAAGTTTCTATTTATTTTATTTTTGACAAAAAAAATCTCTAGCAACTTTGTGTTATTATAATTAGACTACAAATTTAAGATGAAGTTTCACAGCATTTACTATGTAGATAAATGGTTGAGAGAACCAACAAGTTTATACATTAGACATGTGCAACACTTTGGGATCTGTTCCGGAAACTTCTCGCACACAGTGGCTTCATCAGTACATAACTTTTTTTTTATTCACCGGTATTCTTCCGGCCCGGGTCTTTTCCAAGTAGTGGTGACCCGGCCTTGGCTCCCTATCTGGGGAGTGTCTCGAGACTTAAGTCTCCCATGGGAGGAGGTACAAGTAACTCATGATCTTCACCATTCTTCCTTGTACTGGACTGATGACGGCACTGTGGCGAAACGTTTCCTCAAAGATACCCAGGTGTTGCACATGTGTAATTTATCAGCATTTACCGTGGTGGAGGAGGTGCCGGGTCTGCCTCCACCTGTGCCGGGTCTGCCTCCACCCGTGCAGGCGGGGCTGGCTTGGTCAACAGTCTGAAATGATAGTGGTAAAATTTAGAGTATGGGGGGGGGGGTAAATAAAGGCAGGAACGGTCAGATATTTTTATGAAAAAATATGAATAACCTGTATATGGAAGAAACTTGGGGCAACGTTTCTGTCCGACTTTCACCATTAACCAGCACGAAAGCATTAAGGGAAAAAAAAAAAAAAAAAAAAAAAAAAAAAAAAAAAAAAAAAAATTATATATATATATAAAAGAGGGGGACGGGAGTAGTCTAACGAGAAGGAATAGTACGTATTATAATGTATAAAAAGTAATGCAAAAGTGGTAATACGAAGGGTGAGGTTGGAGACAGTGAAGAGATAGTAATAGTGGAGGTAGTGTAAGAACAAGAGACAGTAAGAGCAGTGGAGAGTTAATGACCCACGAGGGTAGAACCAAACTCCAGCGGGACCAAAACGCCATAGGATGGAACCCAACTAGGTAGAAAACGGGAAATACAGTAAAAATATAGGGAAGGAGAAGAGAAAGATCAGGTCAAATCAAGAGTTCTAAAGTTTGGGTCATTTGACAAAGTGGTAAGACAGAAAACCAGGACTAAGATTCATTTAAGGAAAGTTGTGTACAAGGGATGCTTCAATAAGATGGCGTCTGAAGACTTAAGAAATTTGAGGCTTCACTACTGTAATTAAAGTGAATGTTAAAATTGTTTCTAATATAGCTCTTATTTAACATTCTCTACGGTACAACCGCCATATTTATAAATCAACCTTCAGCAGGAAAACTTACTCAGTTGGAATATCAAGTCTGATAAGCCTCACCGTTGTTTAAGAATATTTAAAGGTTCGGAATGAATGCATTTAATGATTGTAATTTCATGATGGGGGGGGGGGAATTAAGTACCTTCCATGAGCTTGCGAAGTCCTCTGGTGCCATGAACTGCAATGTGTATTCTTGGTTGTTCCTTGCAGTGAAGTCGTTAGAAGCGAGGTTATCAGGACTACCACACAAGCCACACAGGTTGGTGCCCAGGTAAGGGTGAGACCACAGGTCAATGCGATGTTTGCACACTTGAATCTCGGTTGCGAGAGAGAAAATAAAACTTAAGAGCGTATTATAGCTATGATTAATTCAAATTCCTCGAGGTCAAACACCGCCTGTGAAAGACTAAGCATTCAGCCATGATTAAAAAAATGGAAGGTAGTTCTAATTCCTTGGATCAACCTTTTATTAGGAAGCATGTAGCGTTTCGTAGATCTATGAAGGTATCTAAAACAAGAAAAATAATTACCTTTATCCAAGTAAAGAATTCTTGATCCAAGAAATCCGAGCTACTTGGGAAATTACCATCTTACCCTCTTAAGAGTTTAATGTATGATTTATTCATTAAGTAAAACTAGTTGGGACCAAAAGGACAAACCGACAAGGCTGACAGTGAGAAAAAGTCTCAAGATATGTACAGAAAATTAAGAGATGCTTAAAAATCCAGTGAAAGTACTAGAAGTGTCACTAATGAAAGTGATAATTCTAAGCAAGGCTGACTTGTCAGCAGATAACGTTGGTGACAAAGGTGTCAGGGATCCCGCATGATTGTAAGTATAGTTGTATAAGTAAGGAGAGACTATACTGAAAAAGCTTGTGATAAACATACGGACCAGAGAAGTGAAGCTGTATTTGCCAAGCCTCTGTTACTGATACACAAGCAGCGTGTATTCTACTCTAGTATACCTAAAGGGGTATACCAATACTGTCATATAGAGTAATATTAAGATAACCAACATTCATTTAAAATTTAAAGGGCATTTTGAAGTAGCTTCTTAACTTACAAATAGTCCTTGAGAGCCTAGCATTCGAAGACAGTCTCCTTGGCGCCAGGCGAGAACATCCTGAGGCTTTCCTCCGTCAGTGATTCTGTAGGCGTAGGAGCCCTCTGGTACGACATAATCTTGACCGTTTACCAGAATCTACGGAATTTAACATGGTGTTACACACTGGCGTCTGATCTAGGAAAACAGCTTGTGCAGTGACTAAGCATCTCCCAGACTGTCACCCCACAGTATCTGCATATCTGTCCCAAACTTATGCCAGTCTACAGACCTAGAAGTCTACGTATGGCTACATGACGCCCAAGTATCAGCGACCTTCACCAGGATTGAGTTATCCAAGAGTCATGCACATTTATCCAAATTTGTCATGTATCATGCAGCAAATAAAGAAATAACCTTAAAAATGTTAGGAGGAGCAAGTCCTGACTGTGCTAGCTCGATCACAAGCTTCGGATTGTCCTTGAAGGTGGTGGTGTGTATGCAGGAAGGCAAGCCGTAACAACGTCTGGTGAAAAATATAAATGTACTCAGTCTCAGCCTCTTCCTGCCTCGGGTAATAATTTTCACCTTTATTCTAAATGGTATGATAAGATGCCTAGGAGACTGCATATACTCACTGGAACTGGGCGAAGACTCCGTAGTCAGGAGTCACGCTGGTACCCTTCTGGGTAAGAGCGTACTTGCAGTCTCCGTGGTAGTCAAACCTGTGGCGGTCGTAGCTGAAGAAGTGAGGATCGTTGAATACTTCACACTGCTTACCTGACCAGGTAAATGAAAGCGAGGTAAACTTGGAAAGTTTTTTGTGGAACCTAACCCCCCCCCTCCCCCCAACCTTTTTCCCTCCCCCAACTTTTAGTCTTGTTTTTTGACAAAAAAATCATTGGAACTATAAATTTTCGTCAGTAATGTTAAAATAATTCTGCAGAAGATGTGGAGACGGACTATTATTCAACAAGGAATATTGACTGAAAAGTAGTACACTTATTGACGGATGTTAAAATAACTGTCAGCACATGAGTCTTGTCATGCTACTAAATATAGCCACAAAATATAAAATGTGTATTCTCTCCAAGAATGGTCTATTTTTCGTTACAGTTTAAAGAATGAAACACTTGTATTTGAATAAAATAAATTATTAGAAGAGTCTTAGACTGTTAAATCTAGTTGCATGTTTAACCTAAACATTGAAGAAATACGAAGATGCTATTAGCCAAGCAAAGTTCACAGTAACAATAGTAAAGGATTGATTGGCTGAGAAATAGTGATACAAAAGAAATCTTAGCACCAGCAGGGAGAATAAGCTCCCAAAGTGAGATACTGCCATTATTTTTAACACACTGGCAGTCCCGTCCCACCATGGTAGGGTGACCCGAAAAAGAAATAAAAACACTTTCACCATTATTCCACGCCATCACTCTTGCCAATGCGTGCTGATACTACAGTTCAGATGCTCCAGCTGTAGTATCAAAATCCTCCTTCAGAGTGCAGCAACCATACTTTCCATCTCCAAGACAAGTCCACAACCGTACGGGCCCTTGAAATACCTTCATAAATGTTACCTTGGTCACACAAACAGCACGTAATGTCATAAAAGCCCAATCTCCTCCGCTCACTCTATACACGCGTGCTGGGAATGTTAAAGCCCCTCACATAAAACTTAACCCCCCCCCCTCAGGTTTTTTTTTTTTTTTTTTTTTTTTTAAAGGAAGACCCCTACCCCGCCTTCCCCCATTTCCAGATTTACACCCTTCAAGTCCATACTACTTTCTCATCTCAAATGTCCCAAACCTCCACAACAGCCCCTCAGTGTCCTCTTGATATTTATTTTACTAACTTCGAGCCTCCTAATCTCGAAAATACAAATTCGATGCATAATAGTCACACTACACATTGCCCAAGGACACTACATTTACATTGCCTCCCAGCCTCCTCCTCGCTACACATCCATCACCAATGCTCCGCACTAAAGGAAGCATGGGTGGTGAATTCCCTTTTGCCTTCCCGGATAATATTCTGTCTCACACTGATGCCTCAACGAACCACAACTTCCCCCCCCCCCCACTCATCAATTTCTGATTCACCTAGTGTTTCAGACCCCTCCCGCCGAAAAAGTCTACTCCCAAATATCTGACACATTCAATTTCCGACAAATATAGCTAAAAATACCTAAAACTACGGATCCTAATCAGTATAGGGATCAACCAGAATGGGATTTTCCATAGGCAGTTCTAACCTGTTAACTAGAAAACTTAAGCCGATTCCACTATAAGAGGGAGGGCGATTACCTACATGCAAGAAATTTAACTAACTTGTATAACTTCACAAAGCAGTAAACATTCACACAATACTTCGTTTTCAATATAACTATTCGAGTCCGTGACTATTTTTACTGGTTTTATTGAGAAAGCAGCATCTCACCTGCACCATGTCTGTATGAACACACGCTCGTTTTCATCCTTCTGCACCTCACTCACATGCCAGTTTTAATCCTCTTCCATTGGGTTCTGTGAACCTTTGGTGATCATGCACAAGTCAAACGCACAAGCTTCTGCAAACAAAAGAAATAACATTTTCTATAGCTATATTATAATAATAATGTATAAATATTTTTATTTACTACACGTACATGTACAAGTTATTACAGTCCCTAGCGACACAATGACATACTACTATATAAAACTCCCTTGTTATGCTCTGCCATTTCGGGCAAATTAGGTCAGTGTCCAGGATGCGAACCACACCCAGTCGACTAACACCCCAGGTACCCATTTTACTGACCATCGGGGAACAGACAACAGGTGGAAAGAAACCGTCCCAAGTTTTCTACTCTGGCTGGGATCGAACCCAGGCCCTCGCCGCCCTCGCCGGTGAAGAGAGCGTTAGCCCCACCAGGGCCACCAGAGCCCTTCCATATATTCTATGGTACTCGAGGCAGTAACTAGTGGGGAAGGACAGGGGGCCCCTGACCCTAGGGAGTATAGTTTGAAAATTTTGAAAACTATCAGTGCTCCATGCAAAAAAAAAAAAAATAACTGAAGGCAAATTAGGGAAACTACAGAAATGTTATCGCACGGCCAGCAATAAAAGCCTGGTTGATCAACCCTGATCCACCATGAGGCCTAGTCCCTACCTGCCGCGGGGGCGTTTGCCCCCCAAACTTTGACAGGTAAACCAAATAACCCTCAATCCAAGTCCCATTCAGCTGTTAATGAAAGTCTTGCAAGATTCAAACAGGTACAATCGCAGTTATGGAAACTGACTAAATCGAAAGCCAAGTGGTGGTTAAGTAAAATCAGAGTTAAAAACTGATTTGATTTTATCAATCAAAGCACTTCTCCAGGTTACTAAAATTAGAAGAGTTGACCTTAAGAACAAAGTCAATACCGGACTGGGGGGAGAAAAAAAAAAAAAGGTTAACCACGACTTTTCCAGTCCGACTTGGACCTTTTAACTAATCACAGAATCTCGAAGTGAAGGATCAGAATATATACGTTCAACCTCTCCCGCCCCCACCCACCTAACCCCTCTTTAAATATTTGGCTCCCTTTCCTTCGCACTTTGTGTGACTAGTTAATGGAGAAAGTTGAACCGAAACTTAATCAAAGTTTCGTCTCCCCATTCGGGTTATATTTTTACGCCTTTTTCTTACCTACGAGAGAACCATTAAGTTTTCCTTGCCAGCTTTCTGGCCATTGAACCTCCGATGCTGTCACTACAAGCCTCATCGCACTGCATCGATAAAATTCCTCCAGGAACGTCCGATCTTTCTGACAGGGTGCGCAGTCTCCTTTCTCTGCTCCATAATCCAAACTAAAGCGTTAATTAGCACAATAAGCTACAACTAGAGAAAATGTTCCGGTATATGAGCCTCACACTGACCTCTGAAGTATACTAGTGGAACTTATATAAAAGGTCACATACTCAGGGTAAACCGATCAATTTTACTATTGGGTATAGGCGATTGTTATAACTGCCTAGGAAATATTGATGGGAAAATAATGGTAAAGTTAAATTTCATATAAAAAACATTGCAAAATTCAATTTTTCTTAGTCAATGTTACGATCAATGAGACTCTGGAAGCTAGTGAACAAAACTTTGCAAAAAAAAAACTTTGTATGACTAAACGAATTAACATTTCACAAAAATCGTTAGGTATCCTCGAAGGGGGACCCTTTTTATACCGAAACTGAGGTCCAAATTTTTTGGTACTCAAGTAATATTGTTCAGGAGCCCTATGACCAGTTATTGCACCCATGCCCAGCATCCTGTAAGAACAAATCCTATCTAAAATCTCAGTGCGGAAGCTTTAGAAACAAAAAAATCTATGATGCGGAGAGGAAATTCAAGAATATAAAATGCAGCACAGAGTTGAAGATTTTTTGTAAAAATTTTGATTTTTTTTTTTAAATCACTTTAAATAATTTTCCGTTACCTCTTCTGAAGACTAACTGATGTATTAAAGAGCCAGGATGGTAACGTAAAGTTACTATGCTTTCAGCCAAATTTTATTGAGGCAGTAAAAAAAAAAAAAACCCACTTGGTATAAGTTGCATCCGTGACATAACTGGAAAAAAAATGATTCGTCTAATCAGCTACAAACTTTTTCCCACAGAGTGCTTCCCTAACACAAGGTTCACTCTACTGGGTGGCAGAAGCCCAAGTTTGCCAATTAATAACATTTTTTAGTCAACCACTAAAGAATTCTTCAGAGTGAGATTTTCATATAACGTATTTATCAGAATATGAACGACCCATAATTTTAAGTTTAAGTAACCAAGTTTTTTGAAATATTCTGAAATAGTTAAAAAAATTGGAATCGTTAAAACAGACATTTACTGGAGAATATCTTTCTGATCGGCTTTAACTTTACCATCGTGTTGGGGGGGGGGGGGGGGTTTTGTTACAAAACGTTTGCCACTTCCAGTCTGAGTAAATATCAAGTTGGCAATTTTATTAAGTAAATTAATTTCCCATGTAAAACTGACTTTATTAAAAGTTCCGCCGGTATTTCCTCCGGCCCCGGGCCGTTCCAAGTGTGGCCCGCCTTGGCTCCTCTAAGCGTGTGAGACCCAAGTCGCCCCATATTTGTCACTTGGTATTTAGTCACATAGTATTTAGGTCAAACTTATTCCATAAATTGTTACAATTTAGGGTAAGATTAATCAAGTTTGCCTAAATGCCTAGGCATCTAGGTGTTCTAGTGGCCCCCTCTGCAATTAGTATTTTACTACCAATGTAAACCCACAACCAAATCGTAAGCCCTGCAATGTAATCCTATAGAGAATAAACCGATTTTGAATATGATGGAAGGAGGCATAAGGACCTCCAATCTATGGACCAAACTGTCCTCAGGCCAAGCCACAAGCTAACGCCTCTGTATGCCATCCCCGCCCCAAGGGGACTAATGGAATGACAGTCTGTGAGCATACAAGCTCAGCTCAGGCACGTACCCTATCCCTAGAAGGGCTGGGCATGTGCATCAATGTAATAACCAGTGAAGCGTCTACGGCGGCTTCAAACCTCTATACCTTCTAAAAAAACTTTTCTAATTTTAGGCTGTGGGGGGGGGGGAATTTTTCCAAATACTTGGCCCGTTTCATAAGTTTGTTTTTAAAACAAATCAAAAGTCAAACAGTTTCTTCAGTATTGTGTAGAGCATTTAAGTAGAATGTAAAATAGGAAAAAAACCAAACTGGAAAAATAGTAACACGCTGTTTTAATGGGATTTTAAAGTTAAACGAGGGAAGACTTAACAAAT